CTATCTATCTATCTATCTATCTATCTATCTATCTATCTATCTATCTTTATGGAATCATTGCTTAAGAAAGCATAGCAGTCACATTTTCCCACATTGCCATAAATATATGACCTACACATGCATATCTCCATGTATGATGAAAACAAGAGTTCAAAATTACAAATACTTTTTCAAAAGGTGAAACCATCCTTGGGTTAGATAGCAGTGTCTCAATATCTAAGGAGCTGTCACAAAGAAGAGGAAGTCAACCTATTCTCCAAAGCACCTGAAGGCAGGACGAGAAGATGGAAACTTCTCGTTTAGATGGAAACTAATCAAGGAGAAAACCAACCTAGAAATAAGGAGAAATTTCCTGAACAAGTTAGAAGAATTAAGCATTGTAGGGATTTGCCTTCAGAACTTATGGGTACTCCAAGACTGGAGGTTTTTAAGAAGAGATTAGACAAAGATTTATCTGAAATGGTATAGCGTCTCCTGCTTGAGCAAGAGATTGGACTAGAAGACCTCCAATGTCCCGTACAACTCTGTTATTCGGTCATTCTATGAGGTGTCACAAAAAGTCACAGGTTACATCAACAGGAGCACTTTGTGGTCTGAAGTCATATATCCAACTTCAATGTTCAGAATTGTCCCATGTTGACTGAAGATGTTGGGAGAAGAAAGACAAGATACACAAGGAAGCCACTGGTTTGTAAAACTGTTCTGTTAGGCAGAAAATGTATCCGCAGCTTCAACTGCCCCAAAGATAAAGCTGATTTTATCATATACAAACAATCATTTCTGATACACTTAAATTCAACTCTTCAAACATGCAACACCCATGTGCAAATAAACGGCAGTATATAACTGCTCTAGTAATTCGCAAAACAGGCCACATTCCCACGTCCATTTGTGAATTTAATTCATAAGGCATTTCATTATCTGTCACTGGAAGGAGAATTTCCCAATTCCTTTCCAGAATTTCTGCTGGGATCCAACCAGCACAATCATGACGACATTCTTAAACTATTTGAGATTGGAAAAGGACAATGAGGACACCTCAACACGGCTGTCAGCTGATTTCATAAAAAATAACAATCTCATTTCTCTCTCTCTCTCTCTCTCTTTCACGCACACACGTGTGGCAGATTTTATTTACTTGTTGTCTGTGTAATCAGTACTCTGGACTTGGAAGGTTGGACTTTGAAAGACAAAAAGATTGTTTAATACAACCGGGTGTTAATTTTGTTTTCCTGCGAGAACCTTGGAATCAGAAGAACACGTACCTAGGCAGAAGCAGCTCCAGCAATGATGCATCAACCAGAAGCTTGGCTTAAACTAGAGTGAATTCAGATTTCCAGGAAAAATTCTTTTGTTTCTGGCTTTCCTACTCTTTGCATGGAACTTATTTTTTGCACTTTTCATAAGCCAGGCCTGGCTGAATAATGAACCGAAATAATGAAAGGCATTGTTTATGTGCCTATTGAAAGTGGGAAGTGTGTACCTTAAATACCTACAAACACAATCCATTTCCCCAGGCAATGTAATTCTGTAACTGGTCCATATTCATTTTTGTTGTCGTTAGTGGGGGGAAAGAAATGTTGCTATCAAATACAGGTAGTTCTCGACATACAACCACAATTGAGCCCAAAAATTATGTTGCTAAGTGAGACATTCGTTCAGTGAATTTTGGCCCATTTTACAACCTTTCTTGCCAATGTTGTTAAGCAAATCACTGCAGCTGCTAGGTTGTTAAGTGAATTGGGCTTCCCCATTGACTTTGCTCGTCAGAAGGTCTCAAAAAAGCGATCACATGACCCCAGGACACTGCCACCGTCACAAATATGAGTCAGTTGCCAAGCGTCTGAATTTTGATCACTTGACCACGGGGATACCGCAATGGTTGTAAGTGTGAACCATGGTCATAAGTCACTTTTTTTCATTGCCGCTGTAAACTCCAACAGTCATTACCCTGTTTCCCTGAAAATAAGACTTCCCCAGATAATAAGCTCAATTGGGCTTTTGAGCGCATGCACTAAAATAAGCCCTCCCCCAAAATATTGCAACACAGCTGCAGCTATGAGGTGACCATGCTCGCTGCCTCCTGCACCTCAAAAATAACAAGACATCCCAAAAAATAAAGCCAAGTATTTATTTCGGGAGTCAAAAGAAAATAAGACCCTGTCTTATTTTCGGGGAAACATGGTAAGTGAACTGTCTTAAGTTGAGAACGACCTGTATAATTGACTTTTTTGGGGGGACAAAGGCCACAGTTGAATGTAATATTGCCACTACTGATTATCTTAAGTTCTTTAACAGCCTTTATCATTTAACTCTACTTTTGTATATATTTCTGGATCCCCTTATCACCAAACAAAAGCTTAGAAAAATATATTTGATACCTGCTTCTTTTTCTAAGCATCCTAATCCCAGAGGCAATTGCTCAATTCAAAGAAGTGAAGGGTACGGAGGGGGAAAAAAATGACAAACAGCCCGGTTTAATTTCAAACGTTAATATATTTTCTATTTTATAGGGAATATATGTATTTTTCACCCCTAATCTGCAGCAATGGTGGCATCCTCATAAAAAGGGGTGAAATTTGTAAGATGCCTCTTAAAATAAATATTTATTTTTTTATAAAATAATAAAACTTCAAATAAATATTCTTTACACTAGACAATATATTGAAAAAAAAATAGAAAATAAAGACTCCATTTTACTGCAACTGTCCAAAAAGGGGGAAAAAAAGATTCAGAGATTTGCCATTGAAGGGCTTCATAAGGCCAAAAAAAAGAGGAAAAAAAATACAATCTAAGCCATATGGATTGATTCACATTCTTTTGAATGTACAACATATTAGTATAATATTTTGTGACCTGTGTGCCATACTTGCGCTTCTGTTGTGTTTTCACAGTTGAAAATATCCTATATACAAAAATATAGCACATCTCTGGCAGAAAATAACTGGGAGCAGGTTGAAGTAGTTTCCTAATTTACAAGTGTACTAATTCCTTTAAAAAACACACAAACGCACAACACGCGAGTTTGCTTAGAAGTAGCTCAAGTCTCTTTAGCTTATGCAATACTTTAGGTGCTGCCAAGTGTATTCCCACTCTGGATCTCCCCTGGGTGGATTCTTAAGAAGGGTCTCCATGAGGTTGGACTTTTCTCATTGCTGCCCCCCCACCACCAAGAAACAGTGCCACAGTTACAGATCACTTAGTTGCTGCCTCCCCCTCGATGTTCCATCGTCATCCTTGTTTACCCGATTAGTGATGCTATGTTGGCTTGTCAATATTCCTGGGTGGGACTTTGGGAACTTTACAGCAAACTGTGTTGGATTGTTTACAGCGACAGCCTGGCCTGTTGACTTGGTCGTAACAGCCCTGGCACAATTTAAGGCAACCCTTGGCTGGTAGGTAACACCACAAGCAAGGCAGAACGAGGGACAAAACGCCCATGGTGGACCACCGAGTGCAACAGTGGGCCTGGCTACATGAACAGGGATTATCGGCACAGTTGTCCTCATCGTCGTTGGAGCAGTGGTAGAAAAGACCTTTCACGCAGCAGACACAGGTCCCGTAATCTACCATGTTCTGCGCTGAGCAAAGGCATTGCTTATCACAGATCCAACAGGACGGAAGAGTCCGCGGATAAGTGCATTCCTTGCACTTGCACTTCCCACAGTCCTCACATCGGTAGGCGTGCATATGCAAATTCTCTTTGCTGATGGGTTTCAGCTCCCGAGACTTCAGTTCCGATTTCGGCTGTACTCGTATTATCCCCTCAACCACCGTCCCCAAGGACGACCCCAGAAGCCTCTGTTCGGATGAATTGCTACTCGTACTTGTCCTCGTGCTCCCGCGCGAGCTGGTGCTGCTGACCGTGCTGATGGAACGGGAGAGCGGGAGTCGAGAAGAAGCATGGACCTGGGGATGGGGAAGCCTGTTCAGATGACGCTGCGGCTCCGTCAAGTCGTGCGGTCTTTCGCTCTTGTGCTGGACCACCGCTGGACGTGGTGCTGGCTTCAGTCCCGGTCGGGGAGCCACTGTAGGAGGTTCCGTGTATTCATTCGTGTTTCGGATCGCCTTGATCTGGTCCAAGGACAAGACGTGGACTTGTTGTGCTAGGACATCCCTCAGGTCAGAGTCTCCAAATTGTCTCCCGGGGTCATGCTGGCCTTGAAGTAAGGGTTGTAACCCACTGCCATTCTGAGCTCTTGTCTCCATCAGTATCCTGAACAGCTCTCACTCCAGGAAGCTTAGAACACATCTGAAATCCTAAGTGGAAGAAAGAGAGGGTGGGTTAGGGTTATTTTGCATATCCAAATATGGAGGTTTGCTTTTTCCAGGCAAGGTAACTGGGTGCAGCCTCGCACCCAGTCTCAGGAAAGATAGTCAATCAACTGAAGTCTTGATCTTGAAATAAACACACGCTTTAAGGAAACCAAGCTTTATTTGCTAACCTGAATTGGGCCAAGTTTATGGAACACTGCTTCCAATACTTCCTTGGAATTGTGACTTCCGATAGCAACACTGTAAATCACTCTGCAGCTTTTGCACCCTTGACACAAACTTAAGTTTGCTCTGAAGGGGACACTTGGCAAGCAGCTGCAGGTGGCTCCCTCCACAATCCTGATCAGTGAACCTAGTGAAAAATCTGTCTCTTATCTCCTTCGCTTTACTTTTAGGGTTCACATCTGAATGACGCTCCAGATGGGCTTTTCAGATTATTGCCCCAGATAGAAAAACCTTACATAAAGCATAGATGGGAGTCGCTGATTTCAAGGAACTTATTCTGCAAGTATGAGAATATAGGATTGAGGATTGAGTTTGGTCCTCTTTAAGTTGTAGAATTATAATACAGGTAGTCCTTGACATATGACCATTCACTGAGTGACCATTCAAAGTTAAGACTCTGAAAAAGTGGCTTATGACCCCCTTTTGTTGTATCATCTTCAAGGTCACATGATCAAAATTCGAACCCTTGGCAACTGGCATGTATTTATGAAAGCTGCATGTATTTTTATGACCTTCTGACAAGGAAAATCAACGGGCAAGCCAGATTCACTTTGCAACAGGATTACTAGCTCAACAACTGCAGCAATTCACTTAACAACTGTGGCAAGAAATGTTGCCAAATTGGGGGGGGGGAACAAACCTAACCACACCTTGCTTAGCACCAGAAACGTCAAGCTCAATTGTGGTCGTAAGTCGAGGACTACCGGAAGTATCCCCGAAGCTCTGTGAGCAAAATGGGAGCCAGTAGAAGAAGTAGCTCTGACATTATATGGCAATCTAGGGAAAATGTTGGCAGCATATGAAACATGAAGACAAGGCAGAGAGGAAAAGGAAATAATTCTATGCAAAGGTAGCAGGAAAGAGTCAGGAACAATAAGAATGTTTGAATAAACAAATACTTTTTTGAGTATTAGCGGTTAGTCTTACGTGAGATGGGGGAAAAAAACCCACCCCAAAAGCCAGACTTTCTCTCCCTTCAAAATTCTGCATTTGTGTTCTACTTTGCAATTCAAAATACCAGCAGCAAGTACCAACATTACAATGCTAAGCACTGACAGGGTTTGCATTGTGCATTCATAACACCCAGAGATAATCCATTCACTTCCTGAACATTGCCAGAAAAGGTGCTTTGGCTTAACATGGGCAAACATCCTACACGTTAACAATAAATCACACAATTCCAGGAACAGCATGTGACACCGCTTGCTTCAACTTAAAACTGGGCTTTGCTAAAAGCATATTGCTTAGCGGCAAGAAGCCACAATGAACTATGCTCAGAGTAACAAAGATGTCAAACTGAACTGAGGGGGGGGGGAGAAAGAAGAAAGCTGAAATTCTTACTTTTTTAAAAAAAAGCAAGATCTATTTTATAAAGGGTTTCCTCTGACTGGTAAAGACAAACAAGCTAAACGTTATTATATTCCCTGCAATTCAGCACAGCACTCTCTCGGATATACAAGCATTCAAACATTGCCTTGTCCAGTAAAGTTTGCAGGATTTATTTCTCAGGGGAAACCTGCAGGAAAGGGTCCCAAACTTGTGGCCATTCTCTTGCAAATTATTTAATTCCTAATCCCCCCTCCCCCCCAAAAAAAAACAACAACCAACCACCCCACTTTGGAGAAGCACTTAAAATCCCGACTTCTTCAATTTGCCTTCTATAAGAACATGAACAAACAGAACTCCTTGTTACTACTGCTGGATGAAAGTCAGGTACAGACCTATTTTGCAATAACCGTATTAAAAAGGGTGTTGCTTTTTCAAAATCCTGCATGGGGGGGAAGGGGGGGGAGGAAATGCAGGAACCCGGAGGCTTCATATTGTAAATTTAAGGATTTCCTGGCTGGGCTGTTAATAAGATTGCCTTATCAGGAAAACTTTTGCTCTCCTCCTTCTCTCCCTCTCCCCTCTTCTCTCTCCTCCCAAGCAGGGACTCTTGACTCTGCTTATGTAAAAGCCTTCTAGGTTGCAGCGCCATTCAAGAGTACCAAGTCAGGTATTCTCTCTTATTCCTTTACCTGGCCTAAATCAGATCAGACTCCCTCTCAGTGTTATTCTTGATTGGGTGTTATCCTCTCCTCCTGTGAGTCTCTCAGTTGGAGCCCCAGGAGGGAAAAAAAATGCTTTAAAAGGCAGCATTCTCTCTCTCTCTAGTCACTCTTCGATTTGATCTGCATAAAATGTCAAGCGATCTCTCTCTCTCTCTCCCCCCTCCTCACAAAAAATAACACACACACACACACACCNCCAGACAGATGCCACAACTGCCCTCTTCAGCGACAGGTCCTCTTCAGAAGGACAAGGCTCCTCTGGTTCCCTCCCGTTCCTCGTCTTCTGGCTGTGACTCCACGCCATGGAAAACATAGGCGCGCGCACACCCCGCACAATTACAGCCCGGAGCAGGACTAAAGTCCCTTTTCCAACTGGAACTTCCTCCCTCAGAGGGCTTTGGAGGGAAGCTTCTGAAGAAGCCGGGCAAGAAGCTGGGCGAGTTTCTGAGGCTGTAATTTTACGGGGTGTGCATGCGCGCCTATGTTTTCCATGGCGTGGAGCTGCGGCAAGGCTCTGCACAGCCGGTCATGACTCTGGAGCCCATCTGGGAAGATGAGGAACACGAGGGTGACCGCTCTCCCGCGGATGGGCTATGGATCAGTGGAGCCTCATCCTTCTGAAGAGGACCTGTCCCCGAAGAGGGCAGATGTGGTGGCATCGGTTTTGGGATATTCTGCGGAGCCCCCAGGGAAAAAAACCACGGGGGATGGCTTTTTAACCAGGCGGCTGTCAGAGAGAAGAGGGTAGCGAATGCCTGTGGGCTTGTGCAATAGCCAAATTCTCGCCTCCTGTTCCTTCTTCGGCTGCTGCACAAGCCCATGTGGCATGCGCTGCCCTCTCTGACAGCCGACTTGTTTCCAATGGAAGGGATAGGGAATGCATGCGTTTTCCTCCCTCTGAGTAGATTTCCCACACCAGTTGGACCCGTTGTTGCTAGAGACGCTTTTGTTGAATCTGGCGCAGCGGTGGGACTCTCACCATCACTGAGAGCTTCGCTGGCAGCCGCTTCTTGCCATCACCGCAGCGCTGGATTCAGCAAAGTGGCTCCAGCAGTAACGGGACATGCTTGGGGAAGGGGGAGCCGGAACTGACTGCTGCCGCTGTGAAAATGTTTATTTTCCAGCCGAGGAGAGAAGGAAAGGAGCCAGTCTTTGGAAAGAACCTTCCTTTCCCCTTCAGAGAGCCCATGCTCTCTCAGCTATCACATGCTTCCTTTCTTTCTCCGCCTGCCTGAGCAAAGAAGGCGGGTCACTAAACTGCCCGCTCGCCTGCATTCAAACCAGCCCACCCCTCCTGTCTTTCAGCATGGGCTCTCTGGAGGGGGAGGGAAGGTTCTTTCCAAAGACTGGCTTCTTTCCTTCCCTCCTGCGGTTGGAAAACAGACATTTTCACAGTGGCGGCTGAAGCACAATCCCGGGCAGTCAGTTCCAGCTCTCCCTTACCCAAGCATGTTCCGTTGCTGGAGCCGCTTTTGCTGAATCCGGCGTGGCGGCGGGACTCTTGCCATCGCTGAAAACTTCACTGGCAGCAGCTTCTTGCCATCGCCATCGCGCCGGAAATAAGCCGGTCTTCGGAAAAAACCTTCCCTCCCCCTCCAGAGAGCCCATGCCGGGAGAGACAAGGGGGCGGTTTGGTTTGAATGCAAATGAGCGGGCGGTTTGGGGCCAGCACCTCCTTCGCTCATTTGGGCAGGCAGAGAAATGAGGCTTGTGATAAAGCACCCCTGCCACCAAGGGCGAAGGGGAGCACCTTCGCTCTCGGCTATTGCATGCCTCCTTTCTCCACCCACCCGAACTAGCAAAGGTGGGCCACTAAACTGCATGCTCGCCCACATTCAAACCAGCCCTTACCTCGCTGTGCAGTACCGTGACGGCAGGATATTCTTTTTTTCGCCGGTACGGGGGCATAGCCTCGACCCCTGCCTTCCTGTCACCTCCAGTCCAGCCCTGCGCAATCTCCTCACCACCCCACCGACCTGGGGACACTCCCAGCTGCAGTTGGCATTCTCCTAGCAATCCTTCCTGGTTGCACCCCAGAGCATATGGCTGTGGCCCACGGCTATTGACCGACCCAGGGCCCGCCCAGACTCCCAGAGAGGAATGATCAGCAGGAGAAAGCCAACTGCTGCTGGCAACGGGGCACAAAGGAGCAGCCGCCCAGCAGCTGCCACATCCCATTGCAGGCACCCAGGGTGGCCTCAATGTCTTGCCTCCAGTGCCGCACAACCTTGCCGCCAACTCACTGACCTCAATACACTCTGCTGGACAGCCTCTCCTTCGTGTCCTGTTGCTGGCTGCAGGCATGTCCTGGCAGGTGCTGTGCCCCTAGAGCAGTCACATGACAGTGGCGTGGGGCCCGCTGACCGTCCCAGGGCCTGCTTGGTTGTTTCTGGGCAGGCAGACGGGCAGCATCACTCTCCCACCTCCCTGGCCGCTTGCAGCCTCGGCTGGGCGGGCAAAGGAAGAGGGTAGTAATAGGAGATAAATGACACACAAATTTAATAAATACATAAATGGCTGATTTTTTTAAAACTTATCTTACATTTATGTTCTAGTCTATCCTCTATTTGTAATCTGAGAATGAGCATGCTAGAGATTTAAAAATATAAAATGGGATATTGTTCTGGTAGAAATAAATGACAACTGATTTTCATGCTTAATGAAAATAAATTCCAGGTAGATTGCAGCTCAGTGGTCGAGTATCCACAGCCATAGCACTTAGACTTATATACCACTTTACAGTGCTTTACAGGCCTCTCTAAGCCATTTAGAGAGTCAGCATATTGCCCCCAACAATCTGGATCCTCATTTTACTGACCTCAGAAGGATGGAAAGCTGAATCAACCTTGAGCCAGTCAGGATTGAACTGCTGGCAGTCAGCAGAGTTAGCCTGCAATTCTGTATTCTAACCTCTGCGCTACCACGCTATGCTGTTTATGTAGAATGCCAACTGACTCTGCTATTTCCCATTCCACTGATTTTAGGAAGCTGCTGCCAAAAGAAGTCTGACAAGATGGGAGCACAGTGGGATTCTATCCAAAACTCTTTCATATGTCACCTATCAAAAATATGTTCAGTTACAAGAACCATGATTTCTATCAGATTAGAGAAAACTTCAATAGTATAATTCAAGAAGCACCCCTCTACTGGTACAGAAAAAGATTCCCAAATTCTTGTAGAAAAACTGTTTCCTTGGCGTTCATTTAAACTTGGCTCTTTTAGGTAAGGTAAAAAAACTCTCACCGGTGAAAGCCATTTAGAAAGTGGCATAGATGAAAAACTCTAAGATGTATTAATAAAATACAGAAAATGAGGGATGGTAACTCAGCATTAAAGTTGATTATGGTCATAGACTAGTTGCTGTTTTCTTCAAAGTGTTACCTAGTTATCTACTTGCTAATTTGGCAGGAGCTGGGGCAAGA